GGCGGGTGCGGGAGCGGAGCCATGGCGGCGCCGGCGGGCTCTCTGGTGGCGGCCGTGCTGGCGCACTCGGGCCGCCTCGACAAGGAGGACCTGGGCACCCGCATCGGGCGGCTCTCCCGCCGCGTGGAGGAGCTGAAGGCAGGGCCGGGAACGGGGCAGGACACACACACACACGCGCGCGCGCGAGCGGAGCTTTGGGGAGGGCCGGGGGCGCTGATCTCCGGCCGGTCTGTGCTGGGGTCTCCGGCCGACCGTGGTGGCCTGAGCCCGGGAAGGGTCTCTTGCCGCTGCCCGGGAAGGTCCACCCGATGAACGGCGGTGTCCTGATGCTCCTTCTTTTCCAGGGTGAAGTCTGCAACATGATTAACAAGAAGTATAACGAGTTCCTGCCCAGCATGCAGAGCGCCGAGGACCTGGTGTCGCAGCTGGAGGGGCTGTCGAGCAACATCGACCTGCTGAAAGCGGGGATCGAGAACGAGGTGACAGCCTGCCCTGCCTCGGCGGCCCTCGCCCATTCCACTCGGTTTCAGCCCAGAGCTGTAGGGCCGTCCCCATCTTGGGGCGTTGCGAGGGGACCGGTGGAGGAGGACTCCTCCTGACTAAGAACCCTGGGTGATATCACCCCTAAAAAATGCCTTTACGTGACACGTGTTGCAGAGGTGTATGTCACGTCGGCGGTGTAAGTAAAGAGCTGTCATTAAGGGATTGGCTGTGATTTGCTCTCTGTTGTAGAGTTGAAAAGCGTGTCACACATCTCTCCTCTGGAAAGAGGGAAGGATCAGCCTTGTATAGGGCAGTAAGGTGTGACACAGCAATGGGCCAGCTGAGCGCTGATCCCACAGTGATTTCAGGCAGAATGGGAACCTAAACCATTGCTGTGCGCATTCACTGAAGTCTTTAAGGAGAATGGGAGCAGTTCCTGCAGGCTGGATTGCAGACCCACTCTGGTTTTTGCCTCTGGTTTTCCAACATCTGGGGTTCTGTAGCAGTGTTAACTGGGAATTAACTTTTGGTGCTGTTCAAGCATTCTTGCATTTTAAATGGCTGTGTAAAAGTAACACTGAAGTCCTTTTGACTGTGTTTTGAGACTAAGTTTCCTTACGGTGCCTTTAAAAAACCTGTAACGTATTAAAAGAGAAACCTGTTTACAAGTGTTTCCAGTGCTTATAAGGATCTTCCTAGCAAGGAGCAAATTAGACGGAGCCTTTTTCCTCCTCACCAAATTATTCTAGTAACAGAAATAATTTAAATCTTGTATTGTTATCACTTTTAAGGCGAAATGTGTCTGGTAACATTTGCTTGCTGTAAATGAACCGAGAAGTTTGTTATTTTAGGTTCAGCAAGATCTAAACATCGCTGTTGCCGAATTCACTGAATTGAAGCAGCAGTTGGAGCGAGACACACTGGTTCTGAGTATTCTGAAAAAGCTACAGGAGGTGAGGAGAGGAGGTGGGAGCAGCTTAAAATCATTAAGCAGTAGTCATCATCTCTGCTCCTCAGTCTATGGCATTGTTCTGGACTTCTCTTTTGAATAACTGTCTGTAGCTCCCCTGTCTCTAGCCACATTGTTTAAAAAATTGTATTCTAATAGCAGATACACAGTGACATATGAATCTGTTGCAGTTTGATACAGCTATTAAAGAGTACAATATTGCATTGCTGGAAAAGAAGTATGTTGCAGCAGCTCAGCAGCTGGAAAAGGTAATAGTGACTTCTTAAGTATATGACACTATTGTTCATATATACTTTCAATGAATTTTACAAGATGCTTTTCATTAGCAGCGGCAACAGTTACCCATGTTTTGTGTTTGATCTTTACCACCAGGCACGATGCAGCCTGAAAATGCTGGAATCCCGCAAGGGCTTCGAGCTGAAGATCCTGAAAGCACTAGGCACAGAGCTCACAGTGCAGACACAGAACATGCTCTATCATCTAGGAGAAGAATGGCAGAAATTGGCAGTATGGAAGCTTCCTCCTTCGAAAGGTAATCACAATTCTAGTTTGTTTCACTATTTTTGCTTTACTATTTGAAGTGTGCACTTTTAAGTGCACTTGAAAGCACCTACGAAATAGGAAATATAGTAATACTGTTGAACTACAGTTGGTTTAAGGAGCTCTTTCTGCCATTTGCGTAACCTAATGAACAGGAGTGATGATGAGTGGCAGTGTTCTCTGGATGTCACTCCACTCGTGGAGTATTTAGGGGCTACCACAAGCAATCTGATGTAGTCAGTAGATTTTCAACAGAGTTTTGAAGGTTCATCTTAGGAAAATGTTGAAGCAGAGATCAAAACAGTTACCAGCCTCTGAGTAAATTTTTAGCCTGGTGAAGTATCAGAAAAGAGATGCTCTCTTACAAAGCTTCTGCTCCTGAGGAAATCAGCTGGGCCAAAAATTTCAGGTTGCTTATTACTGAATACCTGATTCGGCATAGCAGCTGGAAGAGTTCTCTGAAATTTTTGTTCAGCCTGAACATGTTTCGCCACTAGGCTAGTTTTAAGGATACTTTTACCTTCTCCAGTAGGTTTTCAGGTTGACACTTTTGTCGCAGGCAGCTAATTGCAAGAACTGCTCACGAGTCTGTATGTTGCTGTCTTCACTGAAACACAGACTTTTCCTTTGGAAAAGAAAAAACCCTTTTCCTTTGGACTTGAAATGGGGAGAAAAGGGAAAGGAAAGCAATTGTCACTAAATGCCATTCAATTGCAAGGTGACTGAAATGAGAATTCCGGATCATTGTAAGAGACTGATTCGCATTCCATTGTCCTGCACTGTAACACAAGGAACTCTGTACCCTCTTCTGACGCTCTTGTACAAGAACTGTGTTTTGTGGAAATGGGGAGAAGTAGAATATTGCTTTAGCTGCCACCTGAGGAGTGCAGTAGCTTCTCAGATCTGCTATATCTCAGACTGCACTCTGACAGCAAGATGGTTTTTCTTTTTCTTTAGAAAGCAGCAGCCTGGAGTCAGTGATGCATTCAGAATTGCACTTACGCACAGTGCCGTCAAAAGAAGAGGAGATTGCTGGCCCACCTGTTGCTTCTGTGCTGCAGGCATTTGCTGTCCTAGGAGAACTGCACACCAAGCTTAAAATTTTTGGTAAGACAAACTGTGTATCCATATAAACATAGCTATAGTAGCCTGAGTGGATAGGAGTTCAGACTTGTAAGATGGATATTGAGATCCAGTTCACTTCAGCAGTATGCTGGAGGACTTCTTTCTCTCTTGGCTTGTGTTTCCCACTGAGCCTGAGGTGGATGCTCTGGTTCTTATTAGTAGGAAATGATCCTTTATTTATCCAGAATTATTTATCCTTTCTTGTCAATTTAATTTAGTATACTGTTTTGATCTGTGGCTATGTGGTTTCATGGTCTGATGTTTAAAGAGTTTTTCCAGTTACAGCCTCCTCATCTACCAAGAACAAGACTGTTGGTTTCAGGCAGCCTCTGGGCTTCAGCATTCTCAGGTGTTGGTAAAATAAATCAGGAAGTATAGCAGATACTAAGACAGGGTTTCATGCTTTCAGCTGTTTAAACTGTTTTTCATTTTACATGAAATACGCTGCTCTTTGTTAGGCCTCTGTATGTGTTTTACATGAGTAAAATGGTCTTTAGGGAAACCAAACCCAGCGTTTTACCTCATTAGCTGTTCCCTGATACAGCTCATCAAGAGAGTGTTTCTTCTGCTTCATGCAAAGGGTCTCTGCTTCCAAAATTAGTTATGATTGAGCCTCGCTGGAGCAAACTGCCTCCTGCTGTTGGAAAACACCTTTTTTTCATTTTTCAGGCCAGTTGTTGCTGAAATACATCCTCAAGCCACTGATTTCATACCCATGTCTTCAACCATTCACAGAGGAACAGTCAGATGTGTTCATCCTACGTTTTAAGTCCGAGGAGCCTAACTTGGATCATTCCTCTCCTATGGAGGTTTTTGACAAGATCAAGCTTATTTTTGAAGTTCTCCACAAATATCTGCTGAGTAGGTAGTTTCTCCCTTTTGGAATTAGACTGATCTGTACCTTGTTCATGTAATTGGAGCGGAAGCTTTCTCAAATATCTGGTTGTTAAGCAGTATTGAATTATATGTAAGGTCTAAGCAGCTTTTAATGTTAACTTGCTACGCTGCGCTTGGACAGCTTGGCACCTTGTCAAACTGGATGTAGCGGTGACCCAGCATTCACAGAGCTGGGAGAAAGAAGAAGGAAAGTATTTTGGCTCAAAGAGATCAAGGAATTAATTTTTTGATAAATGTTCTTTCTTGTGAACCAGTCACTGCATTGAAGATCTTTGCGTGCCACAGGTCTAAAAGGTGGAAGTCACAATGCAATCCAGGGAATTCCCTCGGTCAGGCTAGTCACATGCAGGATCTTCCGTTGGCTAGAAACTGGCCTGGGCTTTTCTAGCATTTCATGAAATAAACATGCTGGGAAAGCAGGCTCAGTTTACACATAAATTTAGTTGTCATTTTGTTAGGGGGGGTGATTCCACAGGCCTAGCACAGGCCTTGATAAGAATACCTCCATTATGAGACTATGGAACAGTTGATAGATGCTGTTCTGACAGGAAGGACTGAATGAACTGGTGAAGGGTCTGGTCCAGGAAGCAGGTGTATTAAAATTCATTTCTGTTCTCTTGAATTCAGATGTGCCTCTTGAGCAGCCTGCAGAAGATAGAAAGAATGGCAGAGTTACACTTGCAGAACTGCTAGGTGATGCAATATGGGAGGAGTTATCGGACTGCCTCATTCAGAACTGTCTAGTGAATTCAATCCCAACCAATAGCAGCAAACTAGAGCAGTATGTAGAGGTAGGTCTCAAAAATCTTTCAGATCCATGTGGTGGAAATGCTAGATGGCCAGCTTGAACAAAAAGCTGTATTTTGCTAATCTAGAATTGCGTATTTCTTTTTCCACAGTTAAGCTGTGGGTTGCGTTTCCTGTCATGTAAGTGTGTAAGGTCTCTGATCTGTGGAACTGGGGCCATATTTAGCTAAGACGTGAGGACTTTTAGACTGTGCAATGTAAGGTACTTGTCTGAGTCTCTGTGAGAGACTGAAGATGATGATGTGGCAGTGCTGCTTGCCAAACTGGCTTCCTGAGGACTGACCGCTCTGTTTGTCTTTGTATTTTTTGTTAATGATCACAGGGGTTTCTTGCATAGGCCACAAAAATTTTTTAAAAACTACATACATGAAACAGAACTTCTTGCTAGTGAAGAATGCCAAAAGCTTCTTTTCCTGGAGAGGGGGCTGTTTCAAACAGAAGCAGTCATAGGATAAACCTCCCAGTCCCTTTCCCCCAGGTAGTCCAGTGTAATGAAATTTGATCATCTTGCTCCTCTGGTTTTTGAATTAGGTTGCCAGCAGGGTCAGAGGGGACAGACCTGCAGTTCAAACACTGTATTATTGTGCGATCATAGCCCCCAGCTGAGCCAGTTTTTTCCAGAAGATTGCTGAAAAGCTGTTGGATGGTTAGTGCCCTCTAAAATCTAGTTCAATTCTTTGCTTTCAGCTGAGTGGAAGAGTTTATACCCAACTTTAATCATGTTCTTTGATTTTAGGAAGCTATGTTAATCTAGAATATGTGTCTGCTCTTCTCAGGTGATTAAATCCACAGAGGAGTTTGAAAAAGCCTTGAAGGACATGCAGTTTTTGAAAGGAGACACGACTGATTTACTGAAATACGCCCGTAATGTCAATTCCCACTTTGCTAACAAGAAGTGCCAGGATGTGATTGTGGCAGCCAGAAACCTGATGACTTCAGAAATACATAATACTGTGAAGGTGACTATTGATGCAATACACTGTTCTTCTGTGTGGAAAAGTAGCTTAGCTGTTGAAGAAAGCTTGTCTAGAACAGTCAAGTCCTTTTTTTTGTGGAGCACTGAATGCTCTTGATTATTTGGGGATCTTGGCAAGCAACAGTTTCAAAACCTTTTTCAGTAGTGCTCAAGAGGGTTATTTCGCTAACAAAATGTTTCTTAAAATACTTGAAGTTTGATTGCATGGGCTTTTCTGGCTAGTGTCATAAGCATAAGAAAAATTAGAGGATTACTTACAGACTTGCTTCTAGGCATGCAACACCAGATAGACTGTTTCATGGTCTGCTGTGTTGTTCATAAGCCAGGAGACTTCCAGCAGTCTTAGGGGACTTCTGCAGCCTCATGTTGGTCTTGAGTCTTAAATCTGTCATTCAGTGTTTTGTAGTCTTGCACTGTTTCCTTTCTGTGGGCTCCAAATTAAATTACACCTCTTTCTTGTTTTCCTGTAGATCACACCTGATTCCTCTGTAGCCCTACCAAGGCTTCCCAATCCTGGGGCAGGAGATCACTTAAAAATGCAAAAAACTTCTAAACTTCTGCATAACAACATGGTGAATTTGGAGAATGAGACTAAACTGAGCCAGTACACGTTTTCTCTGCCCACGTGCCGCATCAGTTCCTCAGTGGAGAAACTGATGGAGCTGGCTTATCAGACGCTGTTGGAGGCTACAGCCAGCACAGATCAGTGGTAGGAATTATATATCAGCAGGTAACTCTTGGGTGTCAGATACTTATTGCCTTTGGCCATACCAAGCATCTGTTAATAGATTAAAAACTAAAAGAACAGAAGATACTTAGAATTGATCGTGAAGGTCACTCTCTGTTTTGGCTGGAGAATGCATCCCTCCGTTTGTGCAGTAGACTGGTACAGCAGAAACAGCTGCAGACTATGTTCCCTGCAATACTCAGGTTAAGCAGCCTTTCGGACTTAAGTTTTCAGGGAACGTTAAGGTACACTTTATTGTATTTTAGCTATTAAAGCAGTGAAAACATTGTAGACTCCCTCGTGTGCACAACGTAGTTCATGACTTCAGTCTTTTAGCTGGGAGACACACTACTGCAGTGTTTCCCTCAATGTTTTATCATACGTTAGCTGTCAGGTGTTCAGAAAAATCAAAACCATCTCTTTTTTTCGAAACAAATGATAAGTGATGGCACCCATTCCGAGAAGAGTTCTTGCATTCTTTGTGCTGGGTGAAAGCAAAGAACTCCAGCTCTGCATCTGGCAGGGCTCTTCAGTGAAAATAAACATTTTGAGGAACCACATACAGTCTGCTTTAAAAACTGGAGACCACAACCCTGAAGGAGGAGAGTTGCCTAGGTACTGAATGCCCTTCAGTGTACCGTGGCAGAGAGAGGGCCGACTATTTGTGCACACCTGGTGGGGGAGGGACACTGTCCCCTTTGTTCCTGGGGTTTCATATATCCCCCTTCTGACATATGGTCTGAAGCTTGTCTTTTCCATACTGAACTTACAAGGTCATAACAGCCTTTGTATTTTCCAGAATGTTGCCTTTGTTGACATCACTGTAATTGATCCTGACGATCTATTCTTTGTGCCAGTACTTCACTACTAATAAAACCTTATTTTGGAGAAGGTTGAGGGTCACTTATGAACGAGATGTTAATTCCACTGACAAACTAACATGAACCTTGTTTTCCTTGTAGCTGTATACAGCTCTTCTACTCGGTACGGAATATATTCCAGCTGTTCTATGATGTAGTGCCAACATACCACAAGTAAGTGCACGTGTGTGTATTACTTAGGGCCTATTTTGGAGAGAGAACGATGCTATTGGAAGAGCCCCACTTGTCCCCAGGTTGTCCACCACAGCCAGAGATTACTAAGAGCTTCCTCCAGCAGCAAAAAGCTAGTACTCTTAATCTGTTGTTAAGTCATACCTGCTGCAAAAGAGGTGCTTGAGAGTTTCTGAGTTGGTAGTCTTACAACCAAGGAGATAGTTGCAGTTCTTAGAACAGTTGTGTTTGAATCCAGCCATGTAACTTTGACCCCACGTCTGATGCAGAGATTTTTCATTATGTTTTTCCTGTAAAAAAGAGAAGCAATGAAGATGGAAAGTATACAATTTTGATCAGAGAACACTGGGGTATTACTCAAAAGGACTTTCTCTTTTCCTCACCGTAACTTTGCTATAACAAAGTATCTTCCTGTTTGAAAGTCCACTCTTAGAAACAATGTGGATATAACACAGGGTTCCTATGCCAAAGCGCCATTTCACTAGCCATGAACTCCTTTCCTGTAAGTTCTTGTGGATGTGACGGGAGGTTAAATGCTTTTGTTCCGACTGATCTCTTTATCAGGCATTACCCACAGTTAGTTACTTGCAACATTTGTCTGAGACAGACTGTGAGTTTCTCTAGGATTGGCGTGACCTTTTTGTTTTAACAGAGACAGGTCTAAAGAAATACATTTCTTCCTTTTCTCTTCTTCCTTCCTGGGACAGGGAGAACCTTCAGAAATTACCCCAGCTGGCAGCCCTTCACCACAACAACTGCATGTATATTGCTCACCACTTGCTCACCCTGGGACACCAGTTCCGATACCGCCTGACTAACATCCTGTGCGACGGAGCAGCTACTTTTGTAGATCTGGTACCTGGTTTTAGGAGACTTGGTAATTTTACCTTTCAGTATTAAAATACATTGATGGATGACATGGTAATTAGTCCTGGCAGTTGAGGCTGAATGATTTAACGTAAGTGTGGCTACTGACTCAAGCAGTGGATTGTTAAGAGTTTTGGACAAGTAGCAAGGACGTTTTCTAGATTGGGAAGTCTGACAGAGCGTTATGACTCTAAGCAAGATAGCTGTTTAAGGCTTGACTCTTTGAAACGCAACTCTTCTTGTCCAGCACATAGTTCTAAGAATAGTTCATTATCCAGCGAGATGTTGTGGCAGTTAGACATTTTTGGAATCATCTCCTCAGTCCTTTGATACTTTCTTTAGCTTATTCTATGGAAATAAATTCTGAAATAAATTTGTAGGAGCCTGTCATCCATAGTTAATTCTGCTACTCAGCTCTTTCGAAAGCGTTGTAGCAATGCAAGACACACAAGAGCTTACTGTGTATGTGGCTGGGCCTGGTTAAATTTGCTCTATGAGGCTGTTTAGAAACTGGAAATTCCTTTAAAAAAACATTATAGCAAGTTCATTATTCAGCACTTATGGTCTCTAAATTGGCAGAGCAGATTCAGTAATTGCTTAATTGCTTCTCTCTGCTTGTTTTTGCTCTTAAAGGGATGGAGTGTTTTCTGGCCCAGATGCGGGTACAGAAAGGAGAAATCTTGGAGAGGCTCTCAAGTGCCAGGAATTTTTCTAATATGGATGATGAGGAAAATTACTGTGCAGCAAACAAAGCAATAAGGCAGGTAAGCAAGACAATCAAAGCCAAATATCCCGTTGTCTGTAGATGTTGTCCTTGGGAAGGTACAGTACGTAATCTCAGTCCTGAGAACTGTGCAGTATTTCAGCGGAGTGGAACTTTTCAAAACAACAATTTTCTGGCATGATTTTTTTTTTTCTCTGGGCTGTGTCTGTTTGTAAAATTGAAACATGCTGAGTTCAGTTCCTCTTGCTCCAAGTTGAAATGAAAAGGTTCTTAATTTTGAACTTTTGTTTGTAGTACATTTATAATGTTTTTCATTTTTCAAGGAAAAGATCTGTCACGCTTTTGATGAGCCTTAATGCAAACTGAAAATGTTGCATTTTCTCCCAGGAATATCTGCTCTAGGCAGTAGCAGGATACTTCATTACCTTTTGCTTCTTTCAAACTGGCTTCTGACCATAAGTAGTCACCTTATCATTTCGTGCCTCTCTTAACGTTCTTTTTGATAACTTGTAGATAACACATAGCTGTTATCTTCCAGGTATTGCATCAGTTGAAAAGACTGGGGAAAGTCTGGCAAGATGTCCTTCCAGTGAATGTATACTGCAAGGCTATGGGGACTTTACTGAACACAGCTCTCACAGAGATTGTCACTAGGATTGCTGCCCTAGAGGTAACTGTGTGAGATGGATATGCCAGGCACAGGGTGGTGTGAACAGTGAGCATTTGTGATCTCTAGAAGTTCTTTCCAAGATCAGGTTTCAGGGGAACAGTTACCTTTCACAGAAATTATAATTGTGGTCCTGTCTATGAGAAATGTTCAAGATACCAATAACCCACACATCCAATTGAGACCAAATATACTCTTACAGTGATTCCATGACTCTGTAGTCAAGGGGAGAGCCAGGGAAGTGGCTATGATTTCATCTTAATTTGGATTTAGGCATGTCACTCCTACTATAAACATTTCTATGAATTGATCTCTTTCTCTTTGTTCAGGGCACAGGAGTCAACTGTTGTCCCAAACTCCATCTATTCTGATACATTTTCAATCTGTGCATCTCTAATGAACCTCTCTATCCTATCTAAGGACTAGATGCTGAACTACCTGTGGCATTTCAAACTGAAATTCTTATCTGTTTAAATCTCCATTTGACTCCCAGACTGTGTTTAAGTGATTGTCAGGTTACCTTGGGTCAAGTACAACTATGCTATTACATTTCCTAATTAAAATATGTTTTCACAGCAAGTGACAGAAACACATTAGTGCATCTGTTCTAGTTGTAGGCTACATCCAAAGAGCCTTCCCACTGTGCATTAGGCCAATAAGTCCTCTTTTCCCATAACAGCTAGTTTACAGGACACTTGCTCAGGCTGTGCCTGCCAAAAAGCTTGGCTTTTATCATTGGGCTGGCAGTGCCTGAGCAATTTCCTTGTAAACCATTCAGACCATCATAACACCTCTGCTTCAGAGGAAAAGGCTAGCTATTGCACTAAGATATGCTGTTTAGAAGCACAACCGTTGTTCTGAGGCAATCACTGAGAAATTGCTGAAATAGCGATTCATGAAATAAGTTATATTAGCATGAGAATGTTTGACGTGATCTAAACCACTGCTTTCATCTTCACACACACAGCCACCTTTTTTTCGTTTCACTTGCTGCTTGGCACTCCAAAAATATATCTAACTGCTCCCCTATTAACATTTGTTAAATTCTAGGACATCTCTGCAGAAGATGCAGATAGGTTGTACTCCCTCTGTAGGACCATGGTGGAGGAAGGACCCCAAGTTTTCACCCCACTACCTGAAGATGACAAAAATAAGAAATACCAGGAGGAAGTTCCAGTCTATGTGCAGAAATGGATGACATTCAAAGAGCTGATGATCATCTTGCAAGCCAACCTCCAAGAAATAGTAGATCAGTAGGTGTCTCCCTTTCTTCCTTTTCAGTTAGTTCTTCACCCCAATAACATGGAACTGGGAAGCAGTCTGACATTGGCAGGGCGCTACACTCGGGGGACTCTGTTCAGATGAAAGGCAATCACCATTAATAAGGATCAGATAACTGCTCCTGGGGCTGTGTGTTTATAGTCCATTTCAAGCTTGCTCATATATTCAGCTACCTCCTACAAAGAAAAAGGCTATGGTAAAAAAAACCAAGTGCCATGGGAGAGCCAGCCACAGAGTGATTGTACATACCCCTTGGCTTCTCTAAGTTCAGAAGTATTTCACGGTAAGCAGCCTGGCATTTTGCCAGGCTCCTGCAATCATTCCACATGATTGGCCCTACCTTCTAGATGCTGTTTCTTGCTTCTTTTAACTTGCAAGGGGGATTCATCTGAATTATACATGAGGATTTGCATAATTACTTCTATTACTTTAGTTGGCATGAGTTGTCAGAAGCTAGACATTCCCTGTTCACAGCTGCCTCACACATACATCTGAATGGCAAGAAAACATACTGTCCCCAACAGGCTAAACTGAAAATGTACCAGCCACAGAGAAAGCACATAGGGAAGGCAGTTCCTTTTCTGTGCCCTGCTCATTGCTGCTGTTGCACATTGTTGGTGTTAGACACTAAAAGTTCCCAACTCTACTTCCACCTGGGCATAAACCACGTTGTTTGTGGTTTTTTCTCCTGTTGTTTGGGAGGTGAATGGGGATTTTGCAGACAAGCTTTGGGCTTATTTTGGAGAAGGAAAAGGTGCAGTTTGTAATGAGTGCAAAAATTACCTCACAACCTGTGGCTTTATACACCTAGCTAAACAATTCTGGACTCAAGTTGCATACAGCTAATAGGCTGCTAACTGGGTTTGTTTTGCCTTCAGACTTACTACCATAACAAGTGCTCAGAAGGCTTGTTTTAACATGACATTTTTGTGCAGTTTGGTTAAAGATATTTCTTTCCCACACAGGTGGGCGGATGGGAAGGGGCCTCTTGCAGCTGAATTCTCCGCAGCTGAAGTGAAGAGTCTGATCCGAGCCTTGTTCCAGAACACAGAAAGGAGAGCAGCGGCACTGGCCAAAATTAAGTAACTCTGTTCGCTCCCTACATGTTACATATTCTGACAAAGAAAGAGCAAACTGAGTCTTTCAAATATTTTTTGGATTGGACCCTTCTTATTTGTACTGGTATAAAAAAAGCTTAGCATTAGGTAAGTGCTTCCTGGAGGCTTGACTGAGGGAGAAGAAACATTCCTAGCTCAATGTTTGTAGGGCAAAGAGAATGGCTCTGTGAGTCTGGGACCAGAAAAATCAAAGGTGGGTAACACATGGACACTAACTGCTTGTGCTCCACCTGCCAGGCAGACAGAGTTTGGGCTTAAAAATTCAACCTCTTGCCATGCTCCCCAAAGGTGTTCTGCCCAGATCCAAGTTTTCCTTCATGAGCTGGTGCGTGTACTGTCCTGGTGAAGAAGAGATGCTTTTTGTCATGTTTGCTCATTTCCATTCTCTAGGATTTCATCTTCCTGTTAAGCCCAGCATAGGGGAATAAATCACATCTTGTATCCAACATCTCTTTGTGAGAACAGGCACCGCTGTCAGATGGGCCTCTCATACAAGGTGCTGTATAATGTCATCTCAAGCTTGCTTGCTTAAGGGTGTTGTAGAGGGATTCTTATTTTTCAGTAGTCAGTCTTACCTATGCAGTTTTACACTGGGGCCATGTAGCCCCTTTGTGTCTTACCTCTTCTGTCCCTGCAAATTACATAGGAAACCCACAAACTTTGATAGCTTTTGATACCCTCTGAAGAATGCTGAAGTGCCAAACTTTGCTCTTTATCACCTCAGGTTTCCCTGAAGAGCAGACCTCAAGAGTGAAAATTTAGGAGGGGTGGGGGGAGAAGAGATCCTGTTCTGAGTGAACTGTTTATCAAGTCACCGAGTTTTGCACAAGTAGTAAAATTCCTCATGGCTTTATTTCTCATGGAAAATATCTTAAAACTGACTTAGAATTTTTCAATCTCACTTTACCAACTCTAGACACCAGTTCAGCTCCTTCCTTTACCTTTTTGCTATGTGTAAACTAGGTAGGTCTGGCACCTGTTGTCTTTCTGGTAGTAAATTTTCTGTCCTTAAAGAATAATGAGAGAAATGTAAATGAATATAAAAAAGGAATGAAGTGTGCACTCATAGCATTATCTTTTAAGTTACAAAAGGCTATGTTTGAGACTTTGAGAAATGTACATTTCTTTTAATTGAAAAGCTCACCAAGAGCATTCATTAAAACATAGCCCAGAGGCCAAGATGTGCGAGTTGCTGCACACATGGAACAAAGTAGTTTCTAGCATGTAGTGCTTACAAAAGTTTCGATCACAGAGCTTAATGTTTTAATCTGTTATCTACTGTTGTATCTTCTTAATTTGCATTTTTGTCCAACTTCTGTTCACATTTCCAAGCATTTGTGCAGGGCTTGAATCACAGCTAGCTTTCACGTTGCACCTAAGCCATTGCAGAACTGAATGGCCATTCTGCCTGCTGGGTCAGCCAAGCATAGCCATGGCAGGTGGTGAGAAGACCCTTCTATTTCTGGCTTTAACTGGCGTAGGGAGGGGGCACATGCAGTCAAATTGGCCATTAGGCTGAGTCCAGCACATAGGAATACAGCAAGGAAGGGAGATACTGAAGCAAAATCCAACTGCTGCTTAAAACTGTAGCTTTTTCTTTTCTTCCCCTCCAAGTAATTTATCTGAAGGCTGGGAGTGTTCCCATAACACTTGCAGCTTGTGGGATCCCCTGCCCCTTTACACACAGCAATCCAAAAAACCGCATATTTTGAAAAACACCACTTAGCCCTTATGGATTGTTCACAGAAATGCAATTTGCTATTTTCTTTAATAAACTATTTATACCAAGCATGTTTTCTAGTGTTGTCTGGGGATTCTGTTACAGTTACAGTAACACAACATGAATTAGTCCTGGACCATTCTCCACTTACTATGTGGAGAACGCAAAGTGTTGCTCTGCGAAGTCTCTCCTTGCCTTATTTCTAGTAGATCTAGTCAAAAAAAAAAAAAAAGAAAGAAAACAAAAAAGGAATCAGTACCATAGAAGAGGTTGTCCCAGAGGTTCATGTGTCAAGGGTGAGCATAGGGTAGTGAAGGAAAGAGTTAAAATAGGATGCTAGCATTGGGATTTGTCTATGCAACATGCATGGCTGTAGGTCAGGCTGAGCATATGCCTTGCTTGCTCCAGCTTACCTCAGTGATGTGATAAATCCATGGCAGAAGCTGAGCCACATTGGTATAAACCCCAGGGTGGTTGGGTTCAGCGCAGCCCTGGCCCCAGCTCACGATGCCTACTAAGCGCCACATGAATTCATCCTGACAAACCAGGGGTCCCCCACTGTCACCCTGTAAGATGGAGCAAGGACTAAGGAAGCAGCTCTGCCCCACTGGCAGCTGGGATGTAGATCAGGCTGGCTTCTGCCACATAGCTTTGTTCCATTGGACACACAAGAAGCTGAAACGCAGGTACAAACAACAGCGTGTGCGTCCCTGCAAGGTTTCAATGTTCCTTCTATAAAGATAGCTAAATCTCAGCATGACATCGATGCACCAGGGCACCGCGGGCACCACACTGCAGTGCAAGATGCAAAGGGCCCAGCACTACCCTACACAGGCTGTTTACTGCAAGCTATTGCCACGAAACCCAGCATTTGCTAGAGCATAACAGGGACGTACAACATATCACTCCTTTCCATGCCTGCTATGCGCCCCTGGCATGCACCACTTGCTCCCTCCTGTTACCTGGCATGCATCTATTTTCCCACGCAGGTAGCCGGCACACAGCATCCTGGCAGTGAGCTTGCCTCCGTACATGCACGAACTATTGCATCTCTTGGTACTGATTAAGGGAACGAGTGCTTCCTTCAGTGTCTCAGTAACCTGTGCTGGGGAGGGAAAAAGAGAAGCCAAGAGGGAAACAAGATCTGCAAGGAGCAAGAGGGGAAGAGCAGGGCACTAGCTAGAGAAGTCAGAAGATGGGATTACTTTATAGGATTAAATACAGCCAGGCCCACACGAGCTGTGGATGTGGGGTGCAGAGCTGCTGGAGCATGGGTGGGATGAAGGCAGGAGGGGGCATTTGCAAGATCACATGGGGCATGGAAGGGGCTGGACATGGCCAGTGGGGACCCTCCGGTCAGTGCTGAGTGGCAGGGACAAGATGGGAGCTCACCTTGCTCTGGTCTGGTATAGCCCCAGCCAGAGACCCAACACTGCGTGCCCTGGAAGAGGTCCCAGTGGGAGGGTGGCAGACACACAGCACGGATGGCATCTGGTAAGAAGGTGACAGGGGTAAGTGCCAGGCCAGCAGGGACAGCTTCATGCTGTGCTGAGCACAAGCAGCTGTGGAGCTACCAGCCTGCAGAGCCACTCAGCCTGGCACATTGATGTGAAAGGCTCTTGGGCCAGGTGCTCTGGGGACTTCAGCTCCCACAGCCACCTTTCCCAGTAATTCACAGCTCTGGCACAGTTCAAAAGACTGTGCTGCTGTGCATGCTGCCTCCCAGGTGCCAGGCTGGACATCCTTAAAGAGCTGCTCTGAAATGGCAGGTTCAAAAGAGGCCTGGTTTTGGCCAAGTCTTAATTGTGGGATAAGACAGACAACTCCACAGATGGGAGAAGGACACAACAACATCATGACAGCATCTTACCTGAGAAATTCAGGGGGACTTGGAGCTTCATCAGGGCAATGTCGTAGTCGAGGCTACTGTCATTATAAAGCGGGTGGTGAATTATTTTCTTTACCGATACCCCGGCCTCATGCTTGATTGAGCCATGGGTGATAACGCCTGCGAAAACCAGCCAGGCAGAGGCTGGAAGCCACCTGTAACTGAGCAGAAATACAGCGTGCCTCTTACTGTAGGGCAACAAGCACCAAGGCCCAGGATAGGAGCAGATACGCAGTACCTCCGAGGTGGGGCACGGGAGAGCCTGGGGGTACCTGTGCACGCAGTGAGCTGCCGTGATGATCCATTCACGTGCCAGCACAGAACCTCCGCAGTGGTGCTGGGAGCCATGGTACACACTGACCTGCCAGGGCCAGCACCCCAGGGGCACGTCCATCCCCCCAACCACCCGCCCGGCACCAGGGCGCAGCCCGCATTCTGCAAGGCAGCCAGGGAGCAGGTGTTAGGCAGAGCTCCAGGTGCCAGACCCTCAGGCTGGAGGGTGATGGAAGTGGGTGGAGCAGGAGCAAAGAAACTGCTAGATCCGGGCGGAGATCTTGGGGACATGGGAGAGGAGAGAGGCACTCACCTGAGCATTTCAGAGCCACAATTTGACCCGATTCACAGCTGCTCCTGCACAGGAATAAGCCTCTGATCAGCATACATGTGAGCCAAAACCCCTGGGGCACTGAGGAGCTCCAGGGCAGCTGCAGCAGTCACCAAAGGGGCTGCTTACTGCACAAAACCAGGACAGTTTTCTACGTTCTCAGGCCTGAAAAAAGGCCTGTGTTTCAGCCCCACCAGCAAACTCTACTTCCCCCAGAGCTGCCCTTACCTGACCTGCCACATGTCTTCCAGGCTACCTTCCTGCTGCAGTCTCACCCGAACGAACTCCTGTGTGTCATTCACTTTGACATCCATCACGTTCACTCCTTTCTGATGGGTCATTCTGCAGAAGCAACGACAAGTATTGTAGAGAGATGCTGGGGACCTGCTAGGGGATCAGGAATGTAACCCTGCCATGGGAACAATGGTGCACTGTCCTGCCGCTCTGGCAGCCAGGAATGAACCTCCTTGGCAGGAAGGATCTTCTGCAGCTCTTCTCACAGGTTCCCATGCCAGCCCAAGCCCTGCTTTCCACCCTGCATTTACCAGGGAGCTGTGCGATCTGGCACTGCTGCCTTGACAAACCTCCCAGCCTTCAAGCACCTGCTTTTGCCAAGATCATCCCCCTTGGAAAAGGACAAGTAGGGGTCAAAGTGGCTGCATCTGCCATGCCCACCTGAGATACCCGAGCTGCCGGCAGAGCACGGTGCCCAGGGAGAGACTCCAGCGCTCGTGGCATGCCAGGAGCCAGCCAGGATGGCCTTTCACCTGCACCTCCAGCAAGGAGTTAGCCACATTTATTCTGAAAGACACTAAAGCCATTCCACCAAAGACAACCTGCAAGTTCCCTTCCTTGCAGTGTTTCGTGCAGAGCCAGCACAGTGGATGGTCATGCACATCTAAAGCAAAAAAAAACCCAAAACAAAACCAAACCAAACCCCAGAAAAAGCCATTTGAAGCAATTAGAAACTATACATGAACCCATTTGCCTATTCTCAGTGCCTGCGTGGCAGCTCTGCTGAGTGATTACATGCAAAGGAGTCCTGCAAGAGTTGCCTTTGCTGTAGGATTGCTCCATGCAACAAAACCGTAATGCTGGGGGATGCGGCAGCACTTAAAAGCAAAGTGAAACAACCACAAAACGCAGCTGAAAGAAGCTAGCAGATCAGCAGGAGATATTTATTATTAAAGAGCATCTTTTCTGTTCTTGATGGGCTTGGCAGGCTCTGTCCTGCACGCTGCTCCCCTCTCCCCTGCCTCTGTGGCAGCAAACCAAGATGCAAACCTCTATTGTGAGCCCTACGGACCACAGGGTCTTCCTCTTCACTGTCACTGCATGCTGGGACCGCACCTGGCTCCTGCAGCAGGGTGAAGCCCTGGTCTGGCTGAGGCTTCTTCAAGCGTTTCACTTCAGGAAACAGAGAAGGGGGTGGAGGTAGACTCATACAGCCCAGGCAGCATCTGAAGATGCACAACACTGGGAACCATCCTGCACTGCCCGCTGGAAGAGGTGATGAGCCTTTCCATGGGTACAGTGGCAGGTTGCTGCTGGGACAACAGCAACCAGCAGCAGAGCCCACACCAGCTGTGTTCCCCTGCCCCAGGCTGCACCTCACTGACCAGGGAGCTCCCATCACCACCACCTCTGCTGCTGGCACCCCAAACCCCCCCACCACTTTGGCAGCTGGGCTCTGCCCACAGCAGCAGGGCTGTCCCGGGGCAGACACTGACCTAGGAGCCATGCCCCAGCTGCTGTCCCCGCCAGTAGCCCAGCAACCCCGAGCAGCAGGAACAGCCTCCTGATGGTGCAGAGAGTTTTGAGAGATGCATTAGCAGAATCTTTAAGAAACAGAGAGGGAGAGAGGATTAACATGGTCTTGTCTGTCTCACAGCACTATCATGCCCCTGGTGAAGTCCCTGGGTCCTTATACATGTTTCTAGGACTCACCTGATCCTTTCCCCACAATGCCAGAAGGAGGTGAGCTAAGGCCATGGATTCTGCAGGAGGTCAAGACTTGGAAGGCCACCCTGTTCCCAAAGCCCATAAATAGCTCACCCACCGTGTCCTGGGGAGGCCGGTGTCCTCCTTGCTTCCCTCCTTGGCTCTGCTGTCAGGCTCTTGCAGCTTTGCACAGCATCCTCAATGCAAGGCAGGCTGTCGGGAAACTGCTCGACTGAGGCTGGGCTCTAGAGAAAGAAGTGGAGTCCCAGGGAGCAAAGACTAGGTCTTGTGGAAGGGGACAAGCTTCAAGCAACGACACCGCTGCCCAGGCTGGCTGCTGCAGCAGGGGGCAAGGCGAGGAAGCCCTTCTCACCATGATAGCAAGGAGTGGGGCCAGCTTCTAGTTTGGGCTGCTGCTGAGCCACAGGCACCAAGCACACTGGTCTCCCATGAACCAGCTCAGGTTTCCCTCCGCATGCTCCCGGCGTGATGCCGTGCATGCGCGCTGCACAGTGCCCATGCTGAAGGAACTCCTCATTTCAAGCCCCCCCCTCTCCTGCTGACAAGGCTCTTGCAGCGGGTGGGGGTGATTGCTCAGCAGCCCCCCTCCCACCCACCCCATCACCCTGCTCCCAGGAACGTGCTGCTCAAGCTGAGGAGCCCCAGGGGGAAGGATCCCATTCCTCCCCGGTGCCTCACCGAGCGAGATCAGCAGCTGTTGCATTACCTCAGCTCTCAAACCCACCTTTCCCCTCCCATTATTTTGCTTAGGAGCTGCATGAGAAACACCAAGTGCTGCTGAAGAGCAGCAGCAGTGCCCTGGTCATCAGCGTGAGGTGGGGGCTGCAGGCTGGCAGCCAGCCCTGCTGGTGGTGGGCTCCCAGGCATGGACAGACCTCCGTGTGGGCAGCAGGAAGGCTGCTGACCAACTGCTCTGTGTTAGCAGTTACATTCAGGGAGACAAGACCTTGGGGAACAAAGCATCCTAAGCTGGGAAAAGATCAGAAAAGGCAGCCTGCAGCTGTTCTTTATCACCCTCACATCCCAAGCCAAATGCCTGCCAGCTGTGATACGTAAAGGACAACTTTCCTGCCCATGTGCTGCATTAAGGATGTGCTGGCAAGGGTTGGTGGGCCCCTGTCACTCAGCAGGGCCCTCCCCACCCCATGTGCACAGAGACCTCCAGGGAAACAACGCCACCTCCCTGGGTGCTGGATTTTCCCTCTGGTCTTTTGGCTGTAGCACACAAAGCTCAATAAAGGTCAAACAGCAGCTCTCAGTTCAGCTTCTGGTTTTCCATGTAATACCTTGCTGCTGAAAGATGCCTGGCTGGCAGCCTGCGGAAAGGGAAGACTTTCTAACCCATGGCTTAGGTACTGGCTGTCCCACATTGGGGCACGAGACGCTTTTCTTACCAATGCAGAGCTTTCACAGCAGAGGCGGAACAGAAATCACTTGTGCTGCTGCATCCACTCTTCTTCCTCGGACCCAGCAGTGGCTCCGCTGCAGTCACCACACCCAAGGTCGACAAGTGCTGCCAGTCCCCAGCTGGCACGCCGCACTGGACAGGCAACCAGGCAGGGATGGTACCAGGATCGCCTTCATTGCATTGCTCAGGAAAGCGAGGGGAAAACCACGCTGAAGCTCTGGGAGGCCCCAGTTACAGACGAAATAGTCACAGCCTACAGCAGAGGTGGACGTAGATGCCCTAGCAGAGCTAACCCATTCTGCTGGAGGCAGAGCCCGAGCTCAGAGCAGCAACAGGAGCTGCTGGCACAGAGCAGGGGAACACACAGCTTGCCTTGTGCATAAACCTGCCTCTTGCCTGCCTGGCACTAGATACCGTCCTGACTGTAGTCTGCTCCCAACCCCTGCGACTCACTGCTGAACAGAAACACTCTTAGACTTGTGGCCAAGTTTGTGAAAGCTGTCAAATTCCCAACACCCAAATACAAGTTCAGAAGTCGTTATGGAAGTTAGACCTGGGTGATGAGCTGCAGTCAGATCATCACCACCACCAGAGATTCCTGGTATGGCAGCAGCATCATCAAGTCCCTGCGAAGAGCCCCAGGTTACCAGTACACCACACTGCCTTGCCTGCACAGGCAGTTCACCGGCTGTGCTGTTTCTCTGGCTGACTCTACCCCATCCAGAAATACTAAGATGGCCTCCTCCAATTAAGTGAGTTAGAAGCCTAACTTCCCCTCTGGGAGACATGAGGCTGAGTACCAATTTCAGCATGTCTCAAAAACAAAAGGCAGCTGAAGCAGACTTCAACAGCTGTCTCATGAAAGAAAGACTTTTCTTATTTACATACTTCTCCATCCCCAAAAGATACAGCTGATGGCTTGTTGCTCAAAATATCAATGAATTTTTAATGCTATTTACTCAAGGAAATGCCTATGAATATTTCATGATAGCCCTGTCTCGCAGGTTCAGGCTGAGGTTTCGTGCTGTCGATGAACAGCACTGCATGTGTTGTGCCACGCGTCCAAGCTGTGCTGAGCAGCCGGCACGGCCGTCAGCAGACAGACACACCAGCACCACAGGAGCTGCACGCTGCAACGCTGCTCAGGACCTGTGCTGAGGCACCAGTTACAATTCCCTGAGGTCAGGCTCCTTTTACAGCCTGGCACTCAGCTGGGGTGAAAACTGGGAGGGCTTTTTTTGTTTGGTTTGGGTTTTTTTCCTCCAGGCTCCCTATCTCAGTTAGCAATTAGGCCAGAAAGCTGAGAGGCAATGGACAAGGCTGTAAATCTCCCCCAAATCACGACCTTGGCTCTGTGGCTGACCCTTTCCTGGTCGTGGCCGGGCTGTAACTGGTGGCACTGGAGCATCTCCTCACTCCGTGGAGGACTGTAGGTGGTGCTGGAGGACTAGGGAGCACCAGTGGGACCCGTGAGGCAACAGCTGAGGTGTGCAGAAACCAGCCTGAGAATCCTTTCCTGGCAGCTGCCCTGTCCCTGGGGCTCAGAGGAGAGCAAGGACTCTCCCAGGCCTCTCCTCCCTGCTGCCCAGCACCAGCCCGAGGTCGCAGCAGGAGCAGGTCAGGTCATCTCCCCTCCAAGCATCCCATGCCCTGCGGCTGCTGGAAAGCCAACCTTTGCACAAGTTAAAGAAGATGCAGGCCGTGACCACAGCCAGCGAAATGCAAACACCTTCGCTGCAAGCAACAAAACGCAATGATCAAGCATTGAAAGTGACAAAACAGAGCAAATTCCAAAAAGATACATCAGTAGCCATTAAAAAATAAGATGCATCAATCAGTCTATACTACCTCACTACTCCAAGTCACACTCATTTTTTTCCTTTAAAACTCATTAAAAGAAGATCAATATTTCCATCAATTCTGCTTGCCTGCAATAAGAAAACAGTGACTGAAATGAGAGAGCTTTCAAAA